TAGACCGAACAAGGGCTAAGTTTTCAACTTCTATACATTTGAAGAATATGCCAAGTACGCTTCGTACCCACCAAACAATCACGTGAGCACAATCAATATCATTATCAATGTTTTGGTTTAATGATCGCTTTACTTTAACGGTTTTGTGTAATATTCAACGAAAAGACAAAACATAAAAAATGGCACACCCTATCGACGAATGAGGTCTAGCCCTCTCTCCCCCCCCCCCCCCTCCGGCTTTACGAATTTGCAACAACTTTTAAAACTGTTCCGCCGCCACCGAGATCGACAGTATATGTACGGAAATGGTTTCAGAACGGCCGCTCTCTGTTAGGGTTTTCGACAAATGATTTTATTGAAGTCCCGCCACATTTAGAGTCATCACATAATCTAGAGAACGCATAACAAAAATTTAATCATCCAATTATGATATGTATATAGCGCCCTCATTGGACCATGCACAAATCAAATAAGGTCATGCACTGAGCTATGAGCACAGCATTAACGCTGTGTCGCACAGATTTTATATTAAGCTTGTTTTGTTCAATCAGCACATTTTATTTTGAATCAAAGCAACATACGGCAGTCCTTGACTACTGTAAGAGCAAATCATTCAAGGGGCATTAACAACCCTCAGTCATTTAGGTATGGAAGTTGCGTTGTACAAGGAACATCTCACGACTACTCCGCGCGCGGGGTCGATCAGATATCCGCCTGTCAATCACTTTGCAGCAAACACAAGAAGTTGCGTTTGTTTACTTCTCTCAAGACAAGTCCCCTTTGATAAATTGCCATCACCTTGCTGGCTCATCCGTGGCCTGGACATACCAGGTAAGAGCTTCACAAATCTCGCTGTCGCTCAGCACCACGCGCACTGTTGGTGCCGACTCGTAATTCCCCTCCACTCGTCACCCTCCACCCTCCTCTCCGCAGCATTGTGTGCAATGAAGACGTCATCGTCCAACCTAGCCTAGTGAATACCGTGCTCGTATAGGTTAAAAAGTCAGGGGCACTATAGTAGGTGCACTTAGCAGATGGTCTTAGCGTGACATGTCAAGTCTGGCGACTGCATTCATGGTGCAATAACATTTCTTTCGGTGGAGGAACATTCATGGTTATGCATACATTCCTTGCCGCGCGGAATCACCATTTTGAAACAAAAACGAGGCTATACTTGCATATGGACCTTTGTTTGGTTTTGTAAACATTGTGGAATGGCAATCTCCTTTGAGTAGAGCTCACCGGCCATCGATGACATATTTCCTCAGTTTTAAGTACATGTATCTCAATATGGCATTTAGTGGCGTCTGTTTATTATCCAGTGTTTCGAAAAACTGGATGGTACATTTGGAAACATTGGATATTATTCTTTTGTTTAGCAATCGTGGCCTTCTATAGTTTTCCTACCCTTAGATGGACAGAATTACGACTGTGACATTAGCGAATGAAAGGTCTTTCACAAAGTACTTCACGGCGCAACCAAATTAGATTGCGAAGCTATACGCATCATGGATCCCCGTTCACTTTTGTGTTGAATCGACTTGAAATCGGAGGTGCAAGCTTCGGCCATGTTTAATGCATGGTTCCAATACGTAATAACACATTGACGATTGCAACGAGTCGATCTTTTACTATAGAACAAGGCAAAGAAAAAAGCACTGTCAGTGTTGTTCAATATAGACCATTCCCAGATAGGACGAAACCCATGGCATAAAAAAGACTATCGTTGCTTGCCAATTTCCATATGAATTACTCAAAGGAGATTGCCATTCCAAATTACTCATGCTCCATTGTGATCACGGATATATACGCCGCCTTAATAAGATGAGGTTAATTACTAAGGCGGTTTTAGGTGTGCTACATTTAATCACATTATCCTTCATTAAGGCAGCACCCCTGCGATGCCCCTCTACTCGGCCGTGTCTCGATGCATTAGTCGTGGGTTAAAATACGGCGGGCAAGTTGATTACATTTCCGGTGTTGGCCGCGATCCTCATGAATGTCTAATAACGGTGTACCTTTCTCACTCCATGAATATACGAGTGTTGAATGCGCAGCTTCTTGTTTTTTGGTAATTGATTGAATGCAGGAGCTCGTCTCATTAGAAGACAAGGGTTCTGTTTGTCCCAAAACTGAGAATAATGATGTTCTTAAAAAGGTGAAACTGTCGTTATAGATATTGAAATACCTAGTAGCGTACGAGTGTTCGACTTATGAATTACCTCCTTATGAATTACCTCCAAGCCGTATTAAAAAAAATATGACAGTAAAATAAGGCTGCAATGTGCCTGCATAAATAGTCTGGCGCCATCCCATTTAACAGTTAACAATTAATGAAGTACATTCAGGGAACTCGACAAAAATGGCCAACTCGTGAATAAGGCCCATTTGCGACAATACAATTTTGCTTCTAACTATACGAGTTGTGACATAAGGTAGACATTGAAATGTCTCCCTAATGTTCGGTGTCTCCCTAAGGTATAATTAATGACGACAAAATGTCTCTCACAGGCACCGTTTACAAGTATTCTCTCTTTTTTTGGAGGGGGGGGGGGGGCGAAATTGGCAGTCTGGAAAACATTAATATAATTATTTCTGATCTATAATCAGGGTAGCCCGTGCACATATAATGTGGCCTCCCAAGGGCCCTGAGCATGATTACAAAGAAGATATAGAAATACAACAAAAAGTAGCAATTTCAAAAAGGTCAGATGGCACGCAGAATATTGTGATACGAAATAATTATGATTACGTTTCAAGACGCATACTGTTTGCCGTTAAAATATATAGGCAATTAAATTAGTAATTTAATAATGAAATTATTTATTTTATGGTACCCAAGCAATGTCCCTTCATTACAAAATGATAGCGACATAAAATTAAGCGGCTGGATTATTTTACAACTCTAATACTAATTTGCTTAGACTTTCATGCATTTGGAATTTCATGATTAATTTGGATACTGCTTGTATCTGACAGCCACTGATCCGAAACATGCATTTGAAAGGATTGCTTATATCCGGTTATCCTTCCCGATCCGGCCTTCCGAAATTGTCAATTACGATGCAACTGTCTCTCCGACATGTTTAATTATCTGTGGCGTTCAGACGGGATCGAGATGGGTTGTTTGCAGCACATTACGGCTGTTCAATGATACCGTATGTGTTCTTTTCGTAAGGACGTTGTCAGCTAAAGAATATCAGTTTTGATGTCGTTCTTTAAGTTATGAACATTTTGTATTTTACACCATTTAAACTCAATACTTGTGTACGCGCACTCACGTCGCTTTAGCAGTGGGTGCGAGCCGGATTAAGGATTGCGAAGAAGGGGAGAGAATTACAAAATGCTACATACATAATATTTGATAATTAATACATCAAATCGAATGAGGGCATGCCTCTTAACATTGAGTCAAAACAAACTGTTACGCTTTCTCACGAACAAAATCGCTAATAAAGGGAGGCTATTTTAATTTCAAAAATCACCAGTTGTTCCTTTTCATGATAGGCCTACACGGCTTATCACTGTTTACCCCTCGCTTAGCAGGGAAAACAACGTCACTCACGAAAACACACATTCTAAATGCATGCTGCATGTACGCTTTTGAAGCACAGACGAACTTGTTGACAAAGATGATATTTATTCTTGCAATACATTTTCGAAGCAAATTTTAGCCATACATACTCTCTGATTTCCTTAGAGTGAAAAGTCAATCTGTTCGAATGACGGTTTACTCCAACGGACTGAAAATAGGCACCAGACTTTTTAAAGTGAAATTCACTCAATCGAACAGATACAATTTTCCGACTCGAGTTTTCAACGGATTGATTCTTTCTTTCTTTCCCCAGTGTATTTCAATCTAGAATTAGAGTGATTTTCACTCTTAATCGTCTATTCCCTATAATTTCACTCTTTGTAGTTGGGAATGCAGGCCTACAATCATCTGAATTCTCAAACTGGACCATTATTTAAACCCTTCAAACCACATACGCGTCGAAACCTGCTCATGTAATGTTGCAATATCCCAATGTGCATGGAATGTATTGACCATATTGCGTTGCGTGTCAGGGATACCAATTCGGTCATAAAACATAATTGCTCGTCTCATCAGTTGTGCACGATTAAGACAAGTGACATTCTGAGCTTTTTGACATGTGAATTTCCGTTCTCTTAAACATCTCCGGACCATGTCTTGTCTTTTATGCCTTCGTCTTTGCTTATAGGTTCAGTATGTTAATAATTTCTTTTCAATTAGCAACCACACATATAATTCGAAAAAATAAATACACTCAAGTCAAATGTAAAACCACAGCTCTCCATCACAGCATTCGCTATCAAGGCTGCAAACTCTGGAACGGATTGCCGTCTTTCATTTCTGAAGCAAAGTCTTTAACTGTTTTCAAATCATTGTATAGAAACTACTTGCAAGGAAATTGATTTTGTTTATTTTTTTTATTACTCCTTTACCACTCTCACAGTGTTTACATTGTACATTGTTTTATACATACATCCTTGTCTTTATTAAGTTAATGGAACATCTTAGGTTGGGGTGTGGTAGTTGGGCGTAACGGGAACACTTGGGATTTTCTCTCTTGGGATGGGGTGGGGTAAAAGGGAGGGTAAAAGGGAGTGTTTCATAAGGCCCTGGACTTCTTACATCTTCATCATAAGGCTTTGCTTTCCATGTATCTTTGACTCTTTGTTATTTATCTTTGTCATTTACTTGTATGTTTGTTTAGGAATAAGTTACGTACTTTATTTGTGTTCATTATGAAGTTATGAAATAAAAACTGAAATGAGTTGAGTTGAAATATCAACGCTGCAAATGTGCAATGACATTGACTCTTCACATTCGGTATATTTCATAGCATCGTACACACACTGCAATTCTCACTGATCCTCAGTGAAACACATATTTTAACACTTTCTGACTTTGGCTCATTCGATCGTTACAATAGACACGTCAAGTTAGCAGTCTAACACCAATTTTACTTACTTACCTCTTACAGCCAGGCATGCCAGACGCAGCGGGAGAGACTCATATTTACTCGACATATTGAACTGAATGTTTTCTACATCGTAATTCCAGACGGCGGATTCTTCGGCATGAGCTCATCTGCCGTGAGTGGGCAAACAGCTGGCGGGGCTCTTAGCGCTGAGAAACGGCCAGCAGGTGACACCAAGACACGGTCTTGAGATCGACGGTCGAAAGAAGTTGTGGGACTTTGATGGGGAAACACACACACACACAACTGCCTCATCAGAGTTCCCAAGCAGAGATGCAGCACACTGAACCTGCCAGCGAGGCGCACGCCCAGGACAACAGCTCAACTCCACCGCCCTCTCAACCCCTCCACTCATCAACTATGTCATTATCAATCCCTATACGATGCAGCGACCACGTCATTAGAGCCAGTGCTCAGATATTGGAAGGAGATTTTATTACAAACTCTTGCCACGAAATGCCTAACCACTGCAAGGAGCACCCCAGTGGACAGGTCAGTTGCAAGTTAATCGAGCCGGTGAACATATAGGTAATGAAAGGTCATTATCCAGGAGTGCATGTACAGTGAATTCCCAATTCATTACCGTGAATTCATAATGGCAGTATGATGAGCCCTTCGGGACTGCGGGATTCGACGCCACGCAGCTTTAATTTGCGCACGTATACGTTGACCGTGTGCCACATAAATCCCGTGTGATGCGCAGTTGATATGTTAGTAGCATTCAAAATGCACATATGTAACCGAACACAAATCCGGATTGATTTTTGTCTCGTACGTCCGACGTCTAATCGTTGTGAATCGGATTCCCAGGAGGAACATTACCGGCATGCGTATGAGCTTCTGCAGGTCGATTAATTACTAGTTTAATTGCTGATTGTCATGAAGTTTCAATGGGAATTAATGCGAGCCGAACTTTTGGTGTCGTGTTTATCATCGACTTCATGCAAATGTTTCATTTCCGAATATTCCGTGGATCTCATTGGTCACGTTCTGCCGACTGACGTCACTGCATCGCACATCAGACACTTTACCAATATTATTCCAGCGTCTTGCCTTCTCATGATTCCGAACAAAAACCTGAGCAGCCCCTTGAGCTGTTTGTCAATCGTGTCTATCATGAAACAGCCGTCGCATTCCATATGCAGAACATGATTCCAACCGAGTTAGCAGTACTGGGATCCGTGTGCTCTCAACACATGATGAAAACATCAGTCACTCGACCAAATGACACTCATCAACTTGAAAACACACGTAGGCCTACCCATATACCACCAACAACAAAACACAAAACAAATCTCCTTCCAACAGACGATCGTATACACCCAACGCTGTCGCTCCATCTAAAGCATGTGTGTCTCACCGGAGGATGTTTTTCACTCTTATTGAGCTATCAGGTTCCACTGCTCTGCCATCTTTCTTCATATTGCATCCTTCGAACTCATCCCAGTGCTTGACTCTACCCCTAAGGCCTAGAGAGACACACTTGATGATGCAGAGAGCCACTTTCCCGCTAAAGAGAGAGCGATATTGATTTACGCATCCCACTCTTGTTGCTATTCGGCACTATAGGGCGATATACCATCCGGCCCAGATTTTTTCAATCACCGATCCGACTTTGGTTTTTCTCTTAGCGGGGGTGTCTCTATACTCTCTACTCGGTTGGGGGAGTGAGTGATCTTACCAGCGCAGCGCCTGAGGCTGCTATCCTGGACATCGTGACATCTTCAAGTAACTTTGCATCATCCCTCACTGCATTAATACTTGTAGACATTATTACGAGGCTAATTGCACGTGGTCGGATGAAGCATGAAACAAGAATGGCAGCACAATTATAGTTAAAGTTAAGTAGTCTTTAAACAAGTTAAGATTTTACTCTGCGAGTTGAGCTGAAGTGCAAATTCCAAGTGTCATTTAATCACGGTGCTCCTTAAATTGTCCCGAAAATATGGCAAAGAAGTTCAGATTGTTTTCGTTATCGTTCGTCATTAAATACTACTCAATGCATCACTTCAAGTCCATTGTTAAAGTAATCAACGTAGTATAATGACAAACTGAAAAGCGCCTCTGTATATTTATACTTGTAAGCCAAAGAATAATTCATCAGATTATTACTAACGGTGTGGGCCTAACTTACATTCAAATGTGTTGTCCGTTTTTTTGTTATCACGGCAATTCCATGATTGTGTCTCAGCACTGTTTTTGTCGGTGTTGCCATTTTTTTCTACAGGTCGGGGAAGGCACGTCTCAAGCATCAACGGCACTAGAAAACAAACTCGATACTCGATCGGAGGGGGTGGACATCATTTTGATGCTTGATGGGCACCAGTGGCGTAGCCAGAATTATTTTTATCAGTTGGGGGGGGGGGGGGGGGCCGCCAAGGGGGCACCAACATGTTAGGGAAGCACCAAGGGTGGACCCACAACAAAATTTCCCCCCAATTTCCAGGGCACCGACTGGCCAGGCACTGTGCTACAAAAGCGGGGGCAGGGGTGGGGCCTCTTTTGACGCTAGAGGGCGCTCTTTTTCCTCACAAACTTTTTTTAGTCACATTTTATAAAGCCGTAGGTCTCAGGGAATTAAGGGGATTAGAATCGAGTACTAACTAGTCATTACGAAGTCTACTAACTTCTGTTTAATTGCTCATAAGCTCACTGAAAAGATACTTAAAAAAAGGACCTTCCTTGACAGGCGGCAAATTTCGGCTTATTGGGGGCGGGGGGGGGGGGGGGGGGGAGAAGGGGCACCGGAGGTGGAGGCACGCTGACAGAAAGAAACTGTTATACACGCATGTAGCCGTATTTAGGCGTCTTTCCTGTTCGGTCGAAGTAAATTACCTGTATAATATCGGTTGCAATAATATACATTTCTTTTATTCCTTTCCCCCTTTTTTGGCATTTCCTGAGGCAATATACCCCTGCCCGCCCCAACCTCTCCTCCCATGGCTATAGTCTATTCCCTTAATTATTCCGCTGTCCGTTGTGTAACTTTATAATGTCCTTGCTTATGTTGAGCAATTTTCATCGCAGCAGAATTCCTTCAGTTCCCGCGCGCATATAAAAAAAATATATTGAAAATTTATGACTACTTCGGGGCTGTATGTCCGTGCGTAGCATTCCACAATACTGCCCGTATATAATGAGCAGGCCATTGAACTTTACTCAACACCATAATAATGATGGCATTCCTCAAATGTTCGTGCGTCAAACAGTTTTATATTCAGCCGCTTAAAATGCGGGCGTAACTATCAGTGACCTTCGCCTGCCGTGAGTCTAGCACATGTCTAGCACATATTATTTTCTTTCACGCAAACTTTTAAGATGAAGTATCATTCTAGCTACAATCCCGGCCAAAATGGTTGGGACACTTGGAAATAACCTTAGCCTCCCACGGTCACCCCCCCCCCCTGCTCTCCCGGTCAATGGTGTTCTGTTCAGCGGATGGAGCACACACCGCGCAATGAGAGACAGCATTGACCGGGGGCCGGGGGGTTGGGGGCCCAGCGAGATTTGGCCAGGATTGTAGAAGCAAATTGAGAGTAAGCCTGTCCTCGCTTCGTAATAAAAACCAACCCCTGAAACATGTATAAATTAGATTTTTATTTAAAAATGTGGTTAAGATTTATGGGATCATGAGCTGCAAAAACGAAATCAATATCTGCGATGAAATACGCTGAAACGCATCTGTTGGTTGGCGTCTGTTGGTCGTGTCCTCTTGTCGACAGAAGATGGCGCTCTTCAAAGTTGTGGCTTTTGAAGTGAGAGGCCTGAAATTAATGTTTAATTCGAGATTCCACCCCAACCACATTCCTAACACTTCTTTTTAACCCCTTCGATATGCAATAATCGCAGCGACCTTCCATATTTCATGGCCTAAATCTTCTCTACTTCTCTATATATTAGTTTTGGGAACCAGATCGGAACATCTTCACATTAAACATTCATATTAATACACGTACCATTACCCAAATCGTATCATATGACCGAACCATTACTTCTCCGAGTCGTGATGTTGTTCCGAGTCACTGATTTTCCTGCCTTTGATTGTTATTCCACACACAGTGACATTTAACGTCTGTCATTAATGTCCATGCAGGGTATCCACGCGCTGACTATATCCTCGAGGGTAAACATCCTCGACAGTAAGTTAACATGAACATAAATCATTGACTAGAGTGATGAAACAGTTTGATTTATTATTCAAATAGTTGTTTGTGTACCTGCAAGATTTTCATTTCATCATTTTCTTCATTCACAAATAGTACTGCCTATACAGTTGTAGATCCAAGACGTTTTAAAGGGAGTTGCTGGTGAGATGTTGGAGTTCAGGATTTGCAAATAAAAGTTACAACACCGAGGCCTATACAGAGTAAACCAAAAGCCCCTTTAAGCAATTAAACGAGATTTGCAATATTGTATGACGTTATTTCAGGTTGGAAATTTTGGATTTTGTTTCCTCAGCGTACTCTTAGACTTAAAACATATTCTTAGACTAATAATTAGTTATTTTCTCTATAGGAAATACAATTTCCTCAAGAATTAAGCAGAGGGCGCTGTCCAGGGTCAATTAACATGCGCTGTTGCATCGTGTAACCTCAGATATCAAGTTGTGCGTCAACCGAACGCGATGAGCAGAAAGTCTGCATGGGCTCAACCTCGTCCCCAGTGCTTACTTTAATTTCAACCTCGTTTCCTATAGTAAGCCCTGGATAGGAAACTTTCTTCCTGTATCCCGATTCGATACCGCAATTAGCTAGAAATGATTTATATCGTGTACTTGGTGTTGTTATTCACAACGCGCAGTACGTGTTTTCGCGATCATTCGTCCACGCCTTTTCGAAAATATCCATTTCCTTTCCCATTTGTTAATATTAATATGAAATGTGATACTGCATGTTGTCTTGCTGAGATCGTAACAGTTTAGTTAAAATATAATCGTGTTTTCGTAACTCACGCCATGCTTGCGCTGCGACGAATTGATTCTATTTTTACCCCAGACGCCGCATACAAACAGAAACGCAAATTTAACGCACAGGCAGGCACCAGACTATTCCTCATTTGCATACGTGTTCAAAATCTTGCGCATGCAAATGATCCAATACCAGGATGAGAGAGCAGGTATAGTGGTGGGCGCGTACTGCTCGACACCCTGCGGACGAGGTTGGCATGGGCTATGTTAGCGTATTTTACGGCCAGGTTGGTGAAGAATTTGGCTTGTGCGCATGTGTAATGCCTTAATTGGGGATTGGAAATTAAGATCTGTAAAACAGAAGTTCAATTTTATATTGCACACTGATTTTAACTCAGCTGTATATAGGCATATGACCCCCCCCCCCCGCCACGCGTGACAGGTGACTGATAATTGCCCATATTCGGCAATGAATACACCACCACCATTTAACATGGTGATGATTTCATTATGTTATTCCTGTTTTACGAGCTCGGAATGGATTAGTTATAGTGCAAATGCAATGTCGTAATGGCACAAGCAGAAAGTGCGCAGTGCATAACGCCAGCATAATTACAAGTTCGGGAGCCTATTTCCAGATCCAACAACTGCGTTGGTATCCCTGCCACTGAATGCAGAATCGTGTTTTCATGGCCATTTCATGACCACTCGGCAACCCGGATCTCCTCGGCCGGGCGGTCTGCGTAATGGCGTTTATGGTTTGTGAGAATTCCAATTTTTTTTTTTCGACAACATTGAGCGATGCAGTGCAGAAGTTCTCTTGGCATTAATTCCACATGACAGATGGTGGACTAGACACGATAATTAAAACATGTGCATTATTCATTTTTTTAGACATGCAGCTTTTATCCAATAAGCCAATTAAGTTGCACATGTACTGATGTGCAGATCGAGATTTTCAACACGGTAAATGAATATCAGCTACAATGTACATTGCCCGTTGGGGTAATGATGCCTAATCAATTATCTGAAAATTTCAATGAAAACAAAAACATTCTTGCATGATTGGAACACACACAATCTTGTAAGAAAATGGTGTATAGTTGGAAGTCTGCAGATTACTTTTATCTTCCTTCAAAACGGGTTGGACCTATTTGTCTTCAATTGTAAACGTGGAAACGAAAAACGTCTACATCTTGTTGTGCGCCATCGTAGTTGGAATACCGAAATTGGAAATGAACGATGTAACCAAAACTGATGCATCTCAAATTTATTTATCGGTAGGACTTTTACCTGTGCAATATTATTTATTACAATGCTTACCACCAACGTCATCTGTTGAAACTATACAAGGCCGCTTAATTATCAGTTGATATTAAACATTTTATTGCCTCCAGTATATACATTTGCAATAGGCAATCTTTTCGGCGGGCCTCCATTGGTCGATAGATAGACTCACGCGAAGTCGCGCCGAGTCACGCTATATAATGAATATGCTAATAACGCGCTACGTCACCGTTGCGGCAAAATCATTTCGGCGAAATCGGCCGTGGTAATGTACGGGAAGACCAGTGTTATTTTGCTCGACAAAAACCCGAGTCGAAATGTACCTTGGTGATATTAGAAAGTGTAACACAAGCGTTAGCAACAACAGATGAAGCTGAAATTCGGAGTATACTTAGATGATATTAGTGTTCAAGGGCGGATCCAGGGGGGGGGGGGCCAAAGGGGGCCATGGCCCCCCAAAAACGAAACTATTTTTTTATTTTTTTT